ATCTGAAAATGCCCACGCGTGGATCGTGTCTCGTGAGAAACCACTTCATATGTAGTACATTCTTGAAGAAATAGAATGTGCCAGGCCATCTGCTGAGTTCTTCGCGCAGTTTGTCCAACCAGCGACAATTTCACAATGCGGGAGATGTCGTTAAAGCGTGCTTGTCCCGTTGTCACGACAGCGCTGTCGCGACAGGTTCGATATCGCAGGCGGGTCACTACGCGCCCGTTGAAGACATTAACATACTGCCAGTTCGCATTATGCGCCGCCGCAGCTTCCCCGAGAGATGGGGGTAAGTTCGCGGGGCCAAAATCCCTGAATCGGAGGCCCGCCCCCGGGAAGATTAGAACCCGGGGCCTGCTAGACCTTTGCGGGCGGAGCATCACCGCCCCTCTTCTGGCGAAGCCAGTGAGGGACGTGCTCGGCATGTTCATAAGGGAATTCGCACCTCGTAGGTATCTGTCAGTCTAAGAAGTCCGTAGTCAGGCTTCAGTTCTCGCCGGAACTTCTGTCGCATTTGCCCCAGTTGTCCGAAACGGCTCCCGCGACTCCATGTCCTTGCGTTGCTGCTCCAGGTCAAATCTAAATCTCCTGTTCTGTTTCGCTTACTGCACGAGCGGCAAGAATATAATTTGTCATTTGCTCGTCCGCCGCTTGCCCCTTCAACTGGCCCCAGGCAACGGCCAGTCTCTTTTGGCATTCATTCCTTATTGTCTGAGCCTTCAGCTCACGTTCTTGAAGGGCTCGTAGCGCTTCCGATTTTTTCCGCCTCGAGTCTAGCAGCTGCAAGTAGATTGCGGAGCTCCGGATTTTCACGTGCTGCTTACTCGCGAGCTTCTTTCTCTCCTTCTCTCCTGGCAGCGCCAGCCTTCTCTCTGTGCTCGACTAGCTCTTCCTCGGCCTGCTGACAAGAAGCTGACGCCATTTGCTCGGCAATATGTTTAATTGATCTTGTCTCGTTCCCCTCTTGCGCAAGACGTCGCTGCGCCGCGTCGGTGATTCCTGCAATGCTGGCTTCTGCTTGTTGCATCCGTCTCTGCGCATCTTCCGCAATGACAATTCTCTCTTGATCGACCTTCTGCGCGTGCCGGCCAAAGGCGCGGCCGCCCTGGTTTGCGCGCTCCCCCTGGGCACCAGTTCTCCGCCTGCGGCAAACGCCCAGGTCCAGCGTTCCAGCAGCGATCCCTTATCGAGAAGCTAGTGGTGGTCCTATTGGATGACAACGCGGCCCAAGGGCATTGAATCCCCTGGAACTGGAACGTCCGACCATGGGGGCCTTCGCACGTCCCCTGGTGGAGGCAGGAGTATGCTGTTCCCTCGTTCTTACACCCTTGTTGATGAAATCGATGTCTCGTTGTTGTGCCAACTCGTCTCTTCCGTCCTGCATTGCCAGCTCATCCAATTCTGGCACCCAGTCCCTACGTGACCTCGTCAATGCGATGTCGGGTCGGTGGAAGCCTCCTGGCAGATGGGGAAGCATACAGGTCGTCGTCCTCATTCCTAGACTTCTTGACCTGTGGAAGTGGAGTCGTTCCTGTGGGCTCCCTTATATGCCTGACAGCGCCCAAGCCTTCGGGCGAGTTCAACATCAGCTGCGCCGACGAACTGTTGCCTCGACCTGGGCGCCCTCCATCTCCAATATCTAGGGGCCAGAAAAAATGCAAAGGAATTTCACGCTAAGGTATTTGGCACCACCAACGGTGCAACGCATGCGCACACCTGCGACTGGATCCCCAGCGATCCAACCAGGGTTGTTGATGCACGGCCGCGTTCTAGGATGCAGTCGACATGCGTGGTGCGGCAAGGCTGTCGGCGGCGGCAAGACCCCAAGATCCGCGACCAACGAACATTCCACTGTGGTTTGGCGCAGCCAAACCACCGTGCAACGTCAGTTTATTCATCCGTCGACAGCAGCGCGCGTCGCGGCAGCAGAACGCAGCGGCGCGCGCGGACACGCAGGGCCGGCGACGTGGCCGGCCAGCTGCCAGCGCGATTCTGGCGGAAGAGCCGAAATCCACGCAGGGTCGTTTTGGGCGCGGCATCCGGCGCAGCTGCGTCGCACTGCCAGGCGCCGCGGCCTTGCGATTGCAGCGCCAGGCCCCGTGCGCCCCTCGAGGCGGGGCGGCAAGCTGTGCACGCAGGAGTCGCGCGCGCTCTTGTGGGGGCGGCGAAAACGATCGCGCGCAAAGGACATTCTTTTGCGTGCCCCCCCGCGCTGGCAATGTCACCAGACCGCGCGCAAAGGAATTAGACGAGACTTCGCGGTGAACAACGCCCTTTGGGTTGCGCTCTTCGCGCGCAGCTACAGCCCCAACTGGAAGGGGTGGGAGGGCGGGGCAAAGGCAAAGCAGGAGAAGAAGATAAAGAAGAGGAGTGCGAGAAAGAAGCGATGGAGGCAACGGAAGGATGCGCGCAAACGAATCTAACACTGCGCGCCGAGACAGTCGTTCGTCCGTTCGGTTGGCCGCGCGGCAGATGAACAGAAAAAGAACTGTTTGCTGCCGACCGAAAGGACTTCTTGGGAATGAGACCCGCGCTCTCTTCCCAAACCCCTTTTCCCGCGCCCCGTTGCGAGCGCGCGACGATTTGTTCTGGCCCGCGGGCAGAGGACTGCCTGTTGCTGGCGAGCGGCCTTTCCACCCGTCAATCGTTCCGAGCACATGCGACCAGCCAAACGCACTTGCAAAGCAAAAAGCCAGCTCCAAATACCGACGCCACACCGATCCCCGCATCCGTGCCAGGCACCCTCTCAACGACGCCCCCATCCGGCTAAAACCAATAAAACCCTTCGTGTGTGTTTCTTCTTGTTATGAATACCATCATCCGAATCGAGAATAGCCTGTTGTATTGCATCGACGTAGTCAATGGTCTCGTCATCAGACGGGTCTACACCTGTGGCGAGGCCGTCAAATCCATTGGTAATGGGATTATGATGACGAGATGGGCCAGGCGAGGTATGAAACTGAGGGTACTCCTCGTTCCTCCCAATCGAATGCGAACTGTCGTTTTAAGATGGTAGATGGCACCCTGACCATGAATTTCACATTGCGTTGCTTCTCCTGTGCTACAGTTACCTTGAGTTAACGTTTCCCTGGGCATTCACTCCAACACTTTCTCCACTGCATGCTCTTAGTCGATCGACGGTTGGGAACTCGGGCGTGCCGGCACATGCCAGATGACCCCACGGTGGGAATTTTGGCTGCGCCATACTTCCCACCCGGGCTTGTTCCCTTACTACTGTCATCGAATCGACTGGAGAATCTCCTCCACGCAGTTTTCGACGCTTGCCTTTTTTCGGAGGCGAAGAGAACTAGGTCGCCCCATAGAGGCGCCTGCATCATGAATACGCTCGGAACGATAACGGTCCTCTTCTCTTCCGGACGATCTTTCCTGTGGTCCCATGCTCTGCGAAACTAGCGGTTGTGCCTCCGATTCGGTTGATAGTCTGTTTTTTGCCGGGATATTCCGATTCCATGCAATATGTTCTGTTGACGTCTCATAATCAGTGGGCTCCGCCGATGACATGGGTAAGGGAGGATAGCGCCGTCAAGCGTGCACTAGGGGCACACTGAAGGGAGGAGGCCGGCCCGCCGGCCGACGCACGTGCGCGCGCCGCAAGCTCGCTCCTTTTCCGTTTTCTTAGAAGCCAAAGAGCAGCTGCAGATGAAACGTTAAAGTCAAGAAGAGAAGCTGACAGCGCAGCAGACAATGCAGGCAAGGATAAAGAGCAGGATGAGCGGCTTGCTGGTGGTGCGGAAAGAGTGCATTGAATCCTCCTCCTCCTCCTCCTCCTCCTCCTCCTCCTCCTCCTCCTCCTCCTCCTCCTCCTCCTCCTCCTCCTCCTCCTCCTCCTCTTCTTCTTAATATTGTTCTCACTGTTATTATTATTAGTTTTCTTCGTATTACTCGTATTATGTTTCCTCGTCCTCGTCCTCGTCCTCCTCCTCCCCTCCTCCTCCCCCTCCTCCTCCTCCTCCTCTCCTTCCCCCTCCTCCTCCTCCTCCTCCTCCTCCTCCTCCTCTTCCTCCTCCTCCTCTTCCTCATCCGCCTCCTCCTCCTCCTCCTCCTCTTTCTCTTCCTTTCCTCCTCCGCCAGCAGAGGGCACCTAGCACGAAGAGCACGAGGGTGGCCCTCCAGGGCTGGGGTGACGAACCTTCGCCTGGGACCTTTTTTGTGTCATTGGGGCCGAGACAGACACGTGGCACGGGAGCGCGAGTCAGCCCACGCAAACACTCGGACTCACGGGATCGTTCTTGGCCCACGTGCCAGCTTTTTTTGTCCGTCGGCCGCCGAGAATGAGACGCGCGGCACGGGGGCGCGAAGCGGCCCACGCGCACAATCGAACTCACGACGCCGCTCCCGGCCCACGTGCCAGCTATGACAACCCCGAGCTTGCCAACGTCACTCGCGTTTTCTCGCCGGGGGCAGGGCAAAGACACGCGGCACGGGGACGCGAAGCAGCCCACGCACACTATCGGACACGCGAGAACGTTCGAGAGCCCACGATGCAGGCGTGCAGGAGCGTGCGTGCAGTGGGCGCCTGCTCTTCCACTTCGGCCCTGAGGCTCAAGAGGCCTCGCGAAGATACGTCCCAGGCGCTCTCGTCTCCCTCGCGGAATCCTGAGCTGAAGCTAGAACAGCCAGGCTGCAGCGCCAACAAAGCTGCAGCGGAACAACACAAACTGCCATGCAACAGAGCTGCAGTGCAACCCAAGAGCTGTGGTCTGGTCGCTGAGGGCGCCGTGGGTGTCGTGCGGCAGGTCTACGAAACATTCAGATCGTATTGCGGAGAAGCGGCGGAAAGAGTCCTTCCCCATACTTTCGCATCATCTTCTTTACCGCCCGACCCGCTTCCTGGACAGTTCCCTCCGACATCTCCGCCAGCCTGACCAAGCCATCCTGGGACACAGCACGACCCTGATCGAGTTGGTGAGACAGGCTAGAGAGCAGGAGGATGCAGGACCTGATGGGGAAGAATGAAGGGATCGAGCCGCTAGTGCCTCCGCACATGTGCGGGCAAGAACCACGTGGTGGAGCCCTCCGCGATCTCGACATGATGCTGCCCCTGGGGTGCCCGCGATTCCCTCTGCGTGTCTGCCATCACCATTCCCTCCTCCACCGAGCGCCGAAGCTGGTGCGTGCATGTGTGAGACAACATGCACACGGCAGTCGCAACAACTCCCGCATCCCCCATCAAGTGCGTATGCCAACGCGCACAAGCTCACAAACACGTGCGTGCATGATCAAAGAGGGTCTGCCAAACCATTTAAACACGAGCAATGTATAAACGATGCGAAAACAAAACATTGACGTGTAATCAACTTCATCACAAGCGCAACAGCAACCGCACACAGATACAGACACGTACGCCACTACATCTTACAACATAGACCACTCCCAACTGGAGCTGGCCGATTCTGGATTCTGGCAACACTGGCACCGACCAGTGAGAAACGTGGGGCGAACTGCCAACGGGTTACGAACCGAGACCAGGAAGACGACTGAAAGCCAGCGTGCGGTCAAACATGCAGATGGAAACAGGCCGCGTGTGCCTGGCCGGGCGAGAAGCGAGAAAGTAGAACGCCGGAAACACGTGCGACCTCTGAGAGGCACACGATGCCAACCCCCATCTGCACATACGCCCTCCTGGCCGGGTCCAGGCGAGCGTGCACTCCGGTCCTGGACCTGTGCCTGGCCAGGATCGGCGCGCGCAGGTGAGCGACGAGAGGACACGGGGCCCACGGCCGAAACGCCGTCATCAGGAACGTTTGATAAGGAAGGATGCCCCTTTTTGCTCAAGTTACACTTCGACTGCCCAGAGGGGGCCTGAGGACCACCTGGGACAAGTTCTAAAACAAGTGCCGAACACTGCGCGCCGCCCCAACGGACTCGGTTCCTTCTTCAGCGGCCCGACTGCACGCGAGATGGCACAGGGACATTACGCGGTGGCTTACGCAGGCCGCCAGTGCGGCACGCTGCATTGCAGACGACGGAACTCACGCGCAACCTCACGCAGGCAACTTACGCGCCAATCTCGGCGCAAACGATCCCGTATTTTTGCGACACGAAGTAGGACGGCGTTGGAAGTAGATTTCGGCTTCCCCCCCCTAAAGAGGAGGGAGGAGGCAAAAATCGCTTGACTCTTGAAGCAGGAAGGCGCACAAGAATTAGATGGGGACGTGGGCATCCAAAACATATCTACTTTCAACGACCGACGGGCACCGTCGACGACGCCCACAGATTCCCTCTTCTCCTCTTCCCCCCTGCGGGGGAAGAGGAGGCCCCACCCGACAAGCGGAGGAGCCCAAGAATACTGTCCGCCGCCCTCTTCGCTTCGCCCTGCCCGAACATCCGACGCTGTGTTTTCAAACCACGGCCCCAGATCGGACTTCCACTGACCCGGGACAAGGCAAACCTGGGTCAGCCGGACACAACAGGATCCTGCAGGATCCTGCGCCCAAGACCGGGTCAGTGCACCCCTGGCTCTGCAGGATCCTGCCAAATCCGGCGCCCTGGCTGACCTAATTTTGCATCGACCCCCGTCACAAGGCCCCCCACCAGAACTTCCGAACGCTTCCCGGGGGGACAATTTTGCCCCGGATCCGTTTCCGATGCCCCCGCGGCCAGAAAACGGCCCCCAGAGGCCGCAGTGAATGACGAACCGCCGGGATTGAACAAGAACGCATCGTCGGAGAGCTGGATAGCACTTTCCGTTCTTCCTCCTCGAGGACGACGGCGACGACCCCCCCCCATGAGACGAGCAGCCCGCTGCGCGCGGGCGCCTGGGCCGGCGCGCAGAAGCAGCCCCACCAGTCGCGGGTCAGCAGCGCGGGCCTCGGAAGCGCAAGGCTGTGTGTACCGCGTGAGCTGGCCCAGAAACGCGCTCGCTCTCCTCGACAGTCTACGCCGCGCTCCCGCGAGCGTGGCCTCAACGCCAAGAATGTGTGTGTGTGGTTCTTCTACGTCCTGTCGCTGCGCACAGGGCCGCGACGCCAAAAACAATTGTCTGTTTGTGTGTGCGCGTGCGTGCGAGTGTGTGTGTGTGTGTGGATCTGCCGAATTGCAAGTGGGCCGAGC